GAGTGAATCTTGACCAACATAATCTTCACATCCTTACTTCTCCCCCACTGGCAAGTGTAACAAGAGCAGAAAGCAGGACAATTTGTCTACCTTGCTGGCTGTACCTTGAATAGAATCCAAGTTTCCAATAGTCCGCTCAAGGAAATCTCAGCTTTTTTGATCATGTACTTCAAAATTCTTTCAGCTTCCATCTGTTGCCCACTCTCAAAACCACACATGTTATATTTATTACAGGAGCCCAGCAACTCCTAGTGTCAAAATCTTAAGTTAAGCATAAATTTACCATCTTAATAGTCTGTACATTAGAGTAGAAGCCTCACTGAGTCTCACCAGGGTAAAATCCAAGTGTTGGTGGGACTGCAGCCTTCTCTGCAGACTTCAGGGATAGTCCTGGGTGATGTGCTTGTATTTTGCTCCTTTGGGTTGTTGTAATTCAGTTCTTTGCTGCTATCAGTCTGAGATTTCTATTTCTTTGTTGACTATCTACTGGGGGTCCTTTGTTGTTTTTTTGACTCATGGCAGCCTTCCTCTTCTTCAGAGCCAGTGACAAGTTAAATCATGCTTCAAATTGCTCTCCTTTTTCTCTTTCAAATCTTGGAGTTATTCCTGCAGCTGGGAGCTTCTTTGCCCTGAAGTCTCATGGGATTAGATTGGGTCTGACTGCTAATCCTCCATTTTATGGTTTGTAATTTTTTTTTTAAGATTTATTTTATTTATGCATATAAGAGCTGGGGTGTAGACCAGAGGTGTGGAGGCTGAGTGGGGAACAGAATAGGCAAAATGATTGAAATACACTGCTGAGGGGAGCAGTGGGTGAGACAGGAACGGTCTGCTGTGCCATGTGGGTCACCTCCCTGGCTGCAATGGTTGCCATTAGCTTCATAGTGCTAAAACTTAACCCCTTGTGCCACCAGGAAGGCCCTCAGTTTGTAATCTTAATCACATTTCCAAAATTCCTTTTGCCATCTTCCTGGTATAAGGGCATGGACATCACTGAGGGCCTTTTGGATTTTTTCCACTCCACTCCATAAACCCCTTTTGCAGCTTCTCAGAGGCCCTGCTCACTCTGTACCCCTATTTTTGACTTGATATTTGAATCAGATAGTTAATATTTTGACCTATACGTAACAGGTAACAGCTAAAAGCTATCTGAGAGATTTAGACCGGTAAAGATTTATTTATTTATTTATTTATTACATAATTACAAATCCAGAAGTGGTCACTAATCTTGTTTCAGTGATTTAATGATGTCAAGACTTTTGGCTTGATAATTTGGTTGGCTTTTCCCTCATAGCTGCAATAGGGCTGCTCTAGTTCCAGATGTCACACACCTTAAGACGGGAGGACAAGGGGCAGGGTTCTTGGTGCACAGGCTCATGTTGTGCCCCTATATCAGGATACCTCACAAGCCCCCATAGCAGTTTCATGATATGTCATAGGCCAGAGCTGTGTCACATGACCCCAGCCCCTGCAGTTGCTAAGAAACTTGAGAAAGTGAATATTTAGCTTTTCCTAGTAAAGAAGACTCAAAATGAAGTTTAGTTTCACCAATTCATAGTGCCAGAGTTTCAATCTGTCAGGACCTTCCCTGTCTTTGCCATTTTCTCTTGTCAACCTGCAATTAGAATCCTGCTCCTGAGTCAGACACTTCCCGATGACTGTTCTGACACCTGTCCAACATGCATTCACTCCTTCTTGTAAGATAGTCATGACTCCAAGTAACCACATTCCCTGCCATCTGCGGTGGCCTGGACACACTTCCTGTTGCTGCCTACTGCAAGCTCTGCAAGCTCTGACCAGTTTTCTTAGACCTAGAACTGACCCACACCACTGGTCATGCAGAAGCAAATTTCTAATCTGACTAACCATTTTCACATGGTCATTTCAAAGCTTCATGTGTGTGCACATGCATGGGAGCATAGCAAAAAAGCAGAAAATGGGCCACATTGACCAAAGATGCTTTTATCCTATGCTAACTTTAAATTCCATCCAGGTAGAAGATCTTCTGAAAAGATTACTATGGCAGAAACTGTTACCATAATGTTCACTGCCCTCTCCTTCCCCCAGTAACCAACTATGGTTTTCTGTGAGCAATGTACTTGGACAAAAGACTTCTTTATTCTCAGATGAAGAAGACCTCATGTGACTTAGTTCTGGCTGACGTGAAACAGTGTATTGCACTTCCAGGATATTTCTTTGAAGAGTGAGATGTTCTTTTTTGTCCTTTGACCCATTTTATTCTTGGAGTGTTAATGAAATGGCAGAAGATTTATCAGCAATTTTGGTCTTTGAGGACAAAACATACTTTTGCAGCGGCCAAGTGTTGACAATATTCCTGGACATTTCACCTGTAAGAGATACATTTTTTTTTTAAATGTCAGTGCTGTGTGTGTGTATGTGATTTTCAACTGATCCTATGTAACTCCATTACTTTTTACATGCATGATACCTTACTCCTTTTATAACACTCCAGATACATTATCTTATTTTAAACAGGTAAGAAAATATCTGTTTGCCTAAACTGTTTCTAGCTGGTCCTGGTTCTGAAAAAGCCAGAACCCTAGGTCAACAGCAATCACTGGAGAGAGATGTACTGACCAACCATTTCGCCTGCACTCAACCCTTCCTCACCGTCTCACTTCCCCATCCTAAAAATGGCATTTTGGTCTCTGGCAAGGGCTTTATATAAATATTGTTGTAGAAACATCACCCCCTTCCCATAAAAGAAAATAGAACTTAGGCAATGTTTGCCCATTCCTAACGGATGGGCTGTCAGACTCATCCTTGCTGAAAATTCTTCAGACTGGGGTATTGCCTTAGTGATAGTTCTTCAGGAATAAATCTACTAAGAGTTGCTTGGAAATGGTGGCTGGAGGAGGAGAGCTTGTGTTCTAGGATGCCAGGGCTACCTACTCCACTTTTTCCCAAAGGAATTGGCTTGTCAGCCAACAGAGTTATTTCTGTCTTGTTCTGTATCCACCCCTACCCATGCTTTACTACATAAACCCTTCCTCCACCCCACATCCCACACAGGGTTGCCTGTAAAAGTTGAGCAGGTGTTTTTTTTAACCCAGGCCCTCTAAGAAACCCTAACAGGGCCAGGCTAATGCTGGCCCAGCCTGGTATGACATAGCTCTTGCCTGCTTAAAACTGCCCATTCTACCCAAGATGTCCAGCCAGGGTGGGTTGTCCCTGAAGAAGCTTTCCTGTGGATTCACAGCAGCTGAATTTGCAGGGGGCTGTCTGAGCCATGGAAGCACACCCAACTGCTTCAAGCACAACAGCTTTCCAAAGACAGCAATGAGGGATGTTATGGTGCCCTGATGGTTTAATGACAATAATGGTTTTTCTTATCTATTATTCATGTTCCCCCCCCCCCTCCACTGGCAATCTTGGTATTTAGGTGACTTCTATAAGTATAATCTTCAAGGAGAAGGAGGCAGGAACTAACATTTGGCCTATGCAGAATATAAGCTAGGTGCTTGCACACAATGGCTGGTATCTCAGCAGTCAAAGGCTTGCAGTTGGAGTGAGTCAGCACTTGATTCTATATCAGACCTGCCACTCACCGGCTGTGGAGCTTGGACAAACAAGTAAACCAGGGTGGCCTTTACTGTAAACTGGAGTCTGGACTTCCTCTTCTGTAGCTGAGAGGTGACAGGTCTCTGCTGGAGCTCTCTGCCACCCTGGGAGCTTAGTGCCAAGTGCTTTAAAGGGATGAGCCCTTGTAATAAACTTTCTCAGGGCCACATCGCCTGTGGTAAGGCTGCGAGGAAGGGAATCCAGGGAGGGGAAGAGGAGAGAAAAGGTGAGTAAGAGGCATCAAATTGGTTATTTCCGGATCTTTCCCAGAACCTTCTCTTCAGTCCCGGGGGTTTGAGGTCCAACTCACTTAGGCACGCCCCTCAGTTTTATCAGGAGGCAATTTGGGGCTGGGGAGAGGAGGTCGTCAAGTGCCGGAAGGTTTATGAGATGCAGAAAGACTTCCTAAGGAGAAACACATCCTACCAGGTTTTTGGCAGACAAGATACGAAATGTGTGCTACTCTTTTAGAAAAGGAAGCAGTGAGATGCCTTTTCAGCTGGTCACAAGGAACCATTCATTCAGAACCTATATTTGGACACCAGGGGAGTGCAGGACACCAGTGTAATGAATACACATGAACCAAAGGCAGGCATCCTAATTCTCATGACTGCCGCTTTATTTTAATTTTGGCATGAGTAAACAATTTTAGATGCAAAAACCTTAGCTTGAGAAATAGATTTTCTTGTCTCTCCTGGTCGGTGATTTCCACACCCTTCCAGGGTTTCAGCAGTTCCTGAGTCTCCATTCCTGAAAGAACCTGCATTTCCCTTCCCAGCTCCATCGCTGGCTTCCTGTGCGCTTCCGTCTCTCGCAGTTGTCCGGTCTTCAGAAAGCATTTGATAGGTACAGGAAGTTACACTAGAGGAGATGGAACCAGCAATCAATAAAAAAAAGAACTATGTTTCCAAGAAAAATGCATCACGGCTTTCCCACAGGACTTATGTACCATAAGTCCTAATATCTGTGGAACAATGGATCTAATTTTTAGTTCTTCCCCTGCCATCTCAACAAATAGACTTTTTAACCTGCTCCTCCCCAACGGGCTGATGATTTATAGTAAAGATTCCCTTTCCTTTTAACCCTTTCATGAGCTATCACCAAATACAATCTCTTCCTCCAGCTTTATTTCTCCTGGCTACTAGTTTAGTATATTTATGGTGCATGAGTCATCAAGCTGCCGCCTGATTGGATAAAAACCAAGCACCCCTGAGACCATCAGTCAATTACAGCTATTCTCAGCTTCATTCACAGATTTATTAGCTTGCACACACAGAGAAATTCATTCAGCAAAGTTCATTCATAAAAATTTCAACACTCTGCATATTCTCCAGCACATCTTCGCCTTCTGCTGCGAATGGGCTCTGAAAAAGGCTCGGAGAGGAATTCGGGAGGGAGGGAAGCTCGAGCGAGGGTGGGCAGGCTGGGAGATCAGAAGAACGCCGAAGGATCGCAAGTCCGGAGAAGAACGCGGAGCTACACCCACCACTAGTACTGGGCTTGTGGCCCAGGAAGGATGCAAGACAAACTCTTCCAAGAGGGGGCAGCCATCAGAATCAGACAACTCAAGCAGAAGGACCTCTGATTTATCTAGACAGTTTCTTTTTAAAACGAACAATCACTGCAACAAATAAAGGGTTAATAGACCAGCCGTTGCCCCGCCCTGTGGGAGCCGGAGGGAGCAGGTTTGAAAGTTCCTGTGTGCAGAAGGGGAGACTTAAGGTGGGGGGCGCTAAATATTTCTGCAAAGCGTCTGCTCCGCTGGCGTTGCGGTGGGACTGGCTGGTTGGCTGGTGCTCTGCCGGGTTCTGTGCCTGAGAGTTGTCAGTGAGCGATGCCCGCCGCCCCGAGCCTGGGTCCAGGCTTTCTGCGCAAGGGATCCTAGCCGAGAACGCCGGGTGCTGCTGCCAGGGCCAGAAGGGGTTGAAGTCTGCTGGGGAGGCGTCGTCTCGCTGGGCTGTCACCCAGGAGGGACCGGGAGGCGAGGCGAGCCGCGGACTAGCGCGGAGTTGGAGAGGTGGCTGCCCGACTCTCACCGGGCGCTGAGGCGTTTACGTTCCCTCTGGTTCATCTAGCAGAAGACTAGGCGGTTTATGCAACAGTATCCTGCTTCTGCACTGCCAAGGCTATGCGAGAACGCGGTCAGGACAGCCTGGCAGGACTCGTGCTGTATGTAGGATTCTTCGGACACCCCGGGATGCTGCACAGGGCCAAGTACAGCCGCTTTCGGAACGAGTCCATCACCTCCTTGGACGAAAGCAGCCCCGGAGGCTCAGTCGGGAACAAGGGCTCACAGCAACCTCCCTACCCCGGCGCCCCTCACCTGCCAGCTGAAGATGCCACCTTGGCGTCCCAGGAGAGCCCCACCCCACTGTGCACCTTGATCCCTCGCCTGGCCAGCATGAAGCTGGCCAACCCTGCCACCTTGCTGAGTCTGAAAAACTTTTGTTTGGGTACCAAAGAGGTGCCGCGGTTGAAGCTCCAGGAAAGTCAGGAGCCTGCTCCCAGCAGCCCTGCTTCCCCAGAGACCGGTCTGAATCGGGCAGGGTCCGCACCTCAGCCACAGCCACCGTCTCAGCGGGAGCTGGTGGGGCCCAGGGCCACTGTCTCAACTCCAGATGCCTGTCCCTTCCCGGGGCCTGGGGATCCAACTCCTGGGAGCAGGCAGGACAGGCACTTTATGCAGCACCTGCTGGGGACTGGCATGAACTACTATGTGAGGGTAAGTCCATTTCCCTTTCTGTGCTCTTTCTAAGAATTCCTGGGGAAAGGGGGCATCTCTGTGGTTTGCTTGCTTGTTTGTTTTTAGCAAGGAGCTGCACCTCACCTGACTGGATTCTAGATTTAGACAAAATTTGTATAATCAGAGCAACAGGAGAAGGGAGCAGAGCTTACAGGTCTCCCTACAAATACCTGGCTTGTGCTGGTGTCAGACAACTTTTGGTTTAAGGACACAAGTTGGTTTAACTTGTAGACACTTGCCATATGTAGAGATAACTTCCTATAGGAACCTTCTTGTCTCCCCTGGACTTAACGTTCTGGCCAAGGAGAGTTAAGACTTTTAAATCTGTTCAGTGGTTGAGACATGAGAGTTTATATCAGCCATTGCATGTAGGCAGAGATTTCTGCTCTAGAAGAATACAAAGTGCCAGAGACTTGAATTACTCTAAAAAAAAAAAAACACTTTGCAACACAAGGCCTGGTCTCTAGCTTGTGTAAAGAACTACTCTTAAGTGTTTGGTTCATACTTTTGGTCTTTATCATTATAGCTTGTGAAGTAGCTTGTGGACCTTGCCCATGATTTATGTGTAAAATTAAAGTCTTTACTAATTTTCATTTGCCCCTACCCATTCCAGAACTGGGTGAAGAAGAATAGAAAATAGGATTCCTATCCCTTGGGAGCTCACATTTTAATCTAGGACAAAAATGAATGCATGTAAAATAGTAAGAGAATAATACTTAGCAATAAACATCAAATGCAAGAATGTTACAGGAATCCAGAAAAAAAGAATGAAAAGGAAATGTTGGGGTGTCTGAGCTTCATTCACATGGGAAATTTAAGCAAAAGTGCATCTTGGAAGACATATCAGATATGGATTGTCAGAAAGGCCAAGATTCCTGGCAGATCAAGAGTAAAAGTCAATTCTAAGAGGCAAGTATTGCAGTGGCAGCTGGATCACACATGCTAGCCTTGAAGAAAGAGGGAGAGGGTGCTGGATAGAGTGGCTATCACATAGATGGTGCTCTGCAAAATGCGAGTTGAATGAAGACAGATGTACCCCTTGAGTAGTTTGGGGTGGGGGAGGAAACTCTTGACTAAAGCTCTTAAATGCTACCTAAGAAGTTTATTAACACTGATCCCGCCCTCTCAGATTTGTAGGCACACTTTGACTTAATGACAGAGTCATAAGAAGAGCTACCTATGGTCCATTTGGGGTGGACTGAAGCAGCAGGAAAAAAGGTAGATTTGGACATCAGTAAGAAAGCTACATAGGGAGTTTAGGCATGCAGGCTGAGGACATGCGTTATGTGGAGATGGGAGAAAGGTGATGAAGACAGGACACTCAGTGAAAAGCCTCATTTCAGTTGATGGAGCAGGTCCTGGGACACTGGACGCAATCAGTGGACATTTCTTGAGCAGTGGATAGATCGGTCAGTTTGTGGTTGTTTAAAGAACATTATTGATAAAGGGTTGTGTGGAGTAAAAAATAGCTTCAATTTCCATCCCAGAATGGGATTAGTGATGACAGTGATGGAAGTAGTAAGCTGGGAAGAGGAATTGTGCTGTGTGCCTTTAACATACAACATTTAAAATAATGTTATGTAACTAGTTATAAGTTGTGGGCAGGCAGACCTGTAAGACTGGTATCTGGTGAGAATTCTGGTCTGAAGGTGTAAATTTGAGAAACAATCCAATAACTGTACACAGATAGATTCAAGAAAGACCAAATCATGTTCCCTGGAAAGATAACAGAGAGAGTCCGTTTGGGATGCTTGACACAGCCTGGTGAATGGGTAACTAAAATTTCTAATAAAGATCTTGAACCCTTACCTTTTCTCACAGTGGTGTGGCTCATAATGGAAACAGTCTCATGGACCTACTAACTGTTCATGGGCATATTCTCTTTTGTCAAGCTTAAGTAGCTGCCAAGTGCTGGTGGGAAAATGAATGGCTCTCCAGAACTACTCTCTGCAGCTGCCTTCCCATGTCACCTAAATGTCTTCTACCTGTGCTCGCCTTGCATCTCCTTCACCTCCCCACACCCACATACCTGTATAATTCCGAATGTGAAAACGTGTGGTCTCCATTTCCACTAGGGAAGGTCTCCACTGTCATGTTAGCGTTTTAATCAGGACACCATCTGTCTTTTCATGGCACTGATAATTGTCCCTGTGAGGAGTGCTCATCTTGTGACCTTAGCGGCCTGCACCATGCTGCCAATCGACAGGGCATGACTCTTGTCCACCCTTCTCTTAGGAAGTCAAACTCCATAGAAGAGCCTACTCTATTCATTTTTATAAAGTTCTATAAAGATGGAAGAGGCCAAGAAGTCATCAAGTTTGATGTCTAGATAGGGAATGTGAAACCCAGAGATGGGACTTTTTTTTAGGTCACAGAAATGAGTGGCCCGCAAGACTCCACCATTCTTTGCTCTTTTCACCACAGGCTTCCATCCTGTTCCTTGGAATTTTTTGAGATTTGAACCAATTTCAAAAACTGAGATGTCAGGTATTTATTGATGAAAAACATTGTATCAAATAAGCCAAGATGTTGATGCCTGTCTGTCTGTAGGGAAATGCACACAGGAAGATTTAAATCAAAAGTGGTTTGGAGATGATGGAATTAGCAGAGAAGTGAGATTCTTAATAGCTGGCAGATAGAGGGACAAATTTTGTAGGCACTGGCAACTACGTATTCTACTTCCTTATCAACATATGTGGTGACTGTTCTTCTCCCAGTCCAGACTGATAAGTTTATTTGTTCATTCATTTATTAAACATATGTACTGTGAACCAGTTTTGCCATAGGAACTGTTCCAGGCTCTGGGAATACGTTACTGAATAAAATAAGACAAGTTCTGAGACCAGGGGAAGCTCACATTTTAGTGGGTAGATTAAATAAACAAGTACATGTAATATGTTTATGGCAATAAGTGCTAGAGAGCGATAGAAGAGAAGTGAGAAAAGCTTGGGGGAAATGGACGATATTGTATTCCTTTTGGGTAATTAATGATAGGGTTAGAGTTACTCTTTCTCTTATTCTCCTGTATCTTTTATTTGCATACGAGGGATGGTATTTGCCATCTACTATATAGCTTAAAATTATTTTAGGTTAAATGGTCTTTGGAAAAATAAATGTTTCTTTTGATCTTTTGCTGTAGATTCAATGTTACAGCTGAAAATATTCTATAAATTCTGAGTACCTGTTTATGATTACGTTTTATTGAAGTTCTGACCTTGAGCCTCCTGAAGTTCTCTTAGGAAGGTAGCTGGTAGCAAACCCCACTGTGACAGATACTGAGCCAGAATCAGGGGCAAGACTCCAGACAGAGCAAAATGGTGAGCCAGTGAAGTCGTTGGAACAGGCAGATGGTGACCCATTCCTACCACCAGGAGTAAGCACCATTTCTTTTCTTTTTTTTAAATATTGATTTATTTATGCATACAGAAATGAGGTACAAGCCAGAGGTGCAGTGGTGGTGAGAGACTTCACCAGAGACAGAGTGGGGAGCAGAACAGGCTGACTGATGAAGTACAATGTGAGGGGAGCAGCAGGCAGGCCAGGAGAGATCTGCTGCGCCTTGTGGGTCAGCTCCAGGTAGGAGGGTAGCTTGCAGTGCTGCGTCCTTACCCATTGTGCCACCAGAGAGGGCCTTAAGCTCCATTTCTTTCTGAGGTCTTCCCAGGTCATGTCACCCACCTCCATGTATTCACAGAGGTCTCCAGGGGCTCCATGTGGTCTATGCTAAAATGGAAATTATGCAATTGGTCTATATGGTCTGGAAGGTGTCTCTCAGCACCAACATTTAATGACTCTAGGGCTTCTGTCTCCTCATAAGAGGATGTTAAAACATAGATTCCTTTTTCTATCCCCAGTCCCAAATTGCCTACAGTTAGTTTAATTCCAAGACTAAATAAAGCAGAAGGCAAAGTAGCTAACTCTTGCAGAGCTGTTGAAAGAAACAAGTAGTTCTTACAATAGCCTTGTGAAAAGGCTGTACTCTCTCAGTGATGATGTTGAGACCCCAAGAGTGTATTAACTCCCCTATACTTTACAGTCTAAGAGGTAACAGACTAAGTATTCCTGTGGAGGTTTTATCTCTTTTCAATTCTCCTCTTTGTCCCTCCCTCCACTCCTTCCTCTGTGCAAGGCAGGCAGTCCTAGATGATGGTGAATGGAGTAGTTAGTTACAGGATGGCTTCATTGTTGGACCAACCCGTAGAACTTGCCCAGTGGCATTCACTTACTTGATTTCAGTCCAACCCAGTGCAGCCATTTCCCAAGACAGTATTAGTTTCCTAGGGCTGCTGTAACAAGTTCACAAACAGGATGATTTACAACTACAGAAGTATATTTGCATACAATTCTGGAGGCCAGAAGTCTGAAATCAAGCTGTCAGTAGGGCCCTGCTCGCTCTGAAGTTGCTAAGAGCAGATCGATCCTTCCTTGACTCTTCTACAGTCAATTGGTTGCCAGAGAGCCTTGGCATTCTTTGGCTTGTAGAGGCATCACTCCAATCTCTACCTCCATCTTCCCATTACTTTTTCTCCACTGTGCTCATGTCCAAATCATTCTCTTCTTCTTCTTTTTTTTAAAGATTTGTTTATTCATGCTTACAGAACTGGGGTACAGGCCAGAGGTGTGGTGGGTGAAAGGATTCACCAGAGACAGAGTGGGGAACAAAATAGGCAGGTCTACTGAAATACACTGCTGAGGGAAGCAGCAGGTAGGTCAGGAGAGGTCTGCTGCAGCATGTGGGTCAGCTCTCTGGCCAGGGATTGAACTATGCTGCAGTTGTTTTGGAGAGCTTCATAATGTGGTACTTTAACCCTTGTGCCACCAGTGAGAGCCACCCCTTCATTTTTTAAAAAAAAGTTTATTTATTTATCATACAAAAACTGGGGTGCAGGCCAGAGGTGTGGGGCTGAGAGGATTCACCAGAGACAGAGTGGGGAGCAGACATGCAGATTGACTGAAACATATTGCTGAGGGGAGCAGCA